CGACCTGGCCTCTGTCGAGGAGAGCTGCAAGGACATCCAGCTGTTCCGAAGGCAGGATGATGTTTATGATTCCAACACGCACAGATTGATACTGAGTTCTCTAGCCTGTTCTCAGACGGTAGTTGTCGGCCAATCAACCACCCATGTATCTCCTGTCTGTGTAACGGCACTAAAATGGCTAGGAACACAGTTAGCAATCCCTGGTGCAACATAAAGCACTATATGAAGACACCGTTACCTTCAGCCAGAGTTTTAATTGTTTGGAAAGATTCACAGGCTACCTGACTGAAAAGAGGAATAAAGTAAATATTTCCAACATGAGAAAGCTTAAATTCACTAGGCCCACAGTATAGTACTATTAAATAAATTTATGCTTTAAAATTTTCTAAATGCCTAGTAAAAGAAATTTTTATTTCTCGTCTAATTTTAATCTCAAAGTCCCTGAACCATTCCCTTTGTTGTAGTCAACTTCATTTTGTCTGTGACTGACTCCCCAGATGACTCTAGGGGAAGTAATTTCCCAAATGTTGATTTTTCTCACCAGCAAAGTAAGAGGAGTATCCAGTCCATTGGCTAGCAACCCTAACAGTGAGAAAGAATAAAACTGTAAACTGCCCAATTTTATAAGAAAATTGTTTTTGACCTTACTTGTCCACAACTTAATCCACAAAATAAGTCATCTACCAAGTCAGTTGAAAAACGAGTAAAATTAAATAGGAGAGAAACACAATTTACAGGGGTGAAGGATGCATGGCCCAGAAGGGTGGGAGAGAAATGAAAGGTGTACTGCAGTGGAAGTATGAGAGCTTCCAGGAGTGTAAGTAGAAAAGCCAACTACGGATAAAATATATTTGGAAGTAAAAAGGGAAACTGGAAAACAGTAGGGACACTTAAAAAGCTACCTGCGGCTTAATGAACTTTCCTTCCATCAAGCTTTAAAATTAGTTGTTTCTGAAACTAACATCCAGATCCCCTTGGATGAATTTTAAGTTTTCCAGAGCTTTTATCATTGCTATCTGGAAGAGGAGGAAGGGATGCAATAAAAAGAAAGAAAAGAAAAAAGAAAACAAAGAAAGAAAAAGATGCTATCATACAGGAAATGAAAATAAATCAATTTTGGGGTGGCATCTGCTACTTTCCTTTTAAGGTCACAACAGTAACAATATTAACTTTTTATTCAATAATTTCATATGATGACAAGCATCTTTACAAAATTAACCATATTACCCACTATAATTAGCTCTCTTGCAAGGTTAAATAATATAAAACTGAAAATTACTGGGTGATTACACTACAATCATACCAATTCTAAGCTTCTGAATAACAAACTACATGGACACTTGGCAAAGGAAAACAAAATGAGAACAGAAGCAATGAGTCGGGGGACTAGAGGACTAAAGCTGCCATAAACAGGGACCCTGATTAATAGCAGGTTATGATAAGTATACATCTGAAGTTTCAACTGGGAATTGCTGCTACCCAAAAACTATGTACATCCATTGCGGAGTACGTGCCTTGGGGCAAAGTTAATTGCAGGAAATTTCACAAGTAATTCCCTGCTCCTTACCATATTATATAGTAGAGGTGTTGAAACAAGTTTTGGTTGCCAGGCTAAGCCTTTTGGTTTTCAGTTGAGTATATGTGTTAACACGCCAACTTTCTCCTCTTAGTTGTTTTATATTAAATTCGTTTTTTTTTTTTTTTGGTCCTCAGAACTAAGATTCTCTGAAGAATCACAGCAGGAAACTGAAGGACTCCAATAAATTCACCAATTATAGATTAACTTTCAATGCCAGAGGCTTTAGCAGTTCGAAGTAAAAATTCAGTTTCCATCTCAGGATCAGGGTAGTCTAAAAGAAACTTCAAGGTCATCTGTACCAACCATTTCTGTGTACTTTTGTATCAATTATAATTACCTGTTCTAAAACTTTCCATGAACAAAAATGAATTTTCCTGAGTAGTAGTTTGGGTTTGAGCGAAGTGTCAGAACAGTTCTCCCATGCTGAGTAATATAGGGCTTGAACTCAAGACCCTGGGGTCAAGAGTTAGTCACTTAACTGAGTCACCCAGGTGGCCCATCAGGGTATTTCTGACTACACTCTAACAATACTCCTTCTTGGGTTCCTGCACTTACCTACGTGTTAGTCTTGTCCACGTTTACATATTATGGAACACTGAATGGTAACTCATACACATGTAGTAGGGAAACAGAAGTTCACTTCGACCAATGTGATTTAATCCTTGTTACTAAGTGCTTCACAAAGGAAAGCTTTCCTAACATTCTACAGATGTGATGAAATCTTAAGTCATGTTGGGCTTCTGCTTTCAAGTTCTGTTCTGAATCTCATACAGCCAATGGAAGTAAAGTAAAATGGTACAACCACTTTGGAAAATAGTCTGTCAATTCCTCAAATGGCTGACCAGAGAGTTACCATGTCACCCAACAATTCTGCCCCTAGGCAGACACCCAAGAGAAATGAAAACATTATGTCCACATACAAACTATTCAAAAAAGCCAGAAGGTAGAAACGGCACAATTGTCCATCATCTGACAAATGGATAAAAATGTGATAGCTGTAAAATGCAGTATTATCTGGTCATACAAGGTATGAAGTACTGATTCACACTACAATGTGATCAATCTTGAAAACGATGTGAAAAGAAAAAGTCAAAAGAGACCACGTATTATATATTCCACCATTAAAAATTCCAGAATAGGCAAATCTATGAGGACAAAAAGTAGATCAGTCATTGCCTAGGGTTGGGGGCTTCGGGGGTGACAGCTAAGGGATTTTTTTTTTTTTTTTAAGATTTTATTTATTTGAGAGAGAGCACAAGAGGGGAGAAGGTCAGAGGGAGAAGCAGACTCCCCATGGAGCTGGGAGTCCGATGCAGGACCCGATCCCGGGATTCCGGGATCATGACCTGAGTTGCTTCACCAACTGAGCCACCCAGGCGTCCCTAAGGGATTTTTTTTTTTTTAAGGTGAAGAAAATCTATGATGAAAATGTGGTAATGCTTGTATACAACTGAGTTTGCTTAAAAACTATCAAATTACATGCTTTAAATGGGTGAGTTTCAAGTGTATGAGTTATAATTCAATAAGCTGTTATTTTAAAAAATCTGTTTCTAAGATGTGAAGTACTTGAGAATCAGCAAATCTCTTCCACAAAGCTTTTCTGGTTAACAGTAAAAGAGTTGAGTCCAATTTATTTTACCGTAATTGGAACCAGCTCGCAGTATTGTTATGTACATTTCTAAAATGTGAATACAGTTTAAGAAAATACATCATTACATCAGCTATTCCAGGCAGCCTGCCATGAGACATTTTTACAAAAAAAAAAAAAAAAACTTAAAAGGAACCCATTTAACTAACCTCGAGTATATATTCTTTCTTGTTGCCTCATCTCCTTATAACCCGTCATATCCCTAAAATTCTCATGTTTAACAATATGAGGCATGATTAATTCAGTCACTAGCTCAACAAATATCTGAACCCTGTACACCATGCACTGTTTGGGCACTTGTATACCAGTGTGCACACACACACACACACACACACACACACAGTCCATGCTCTTGTGGAGCTTACAATCTAGTAAGACAAGATAAACAATAAATGCTGGTTTTAAAGACAGATCTTTAAAACAGAGTGCTATGCTATGGAGAAATGCTGTTTTACATGGGGTATCTAGGAAAGGAGGCTTCTCTGAGAGATGTCTGAGGGAAGAAAAGGAGGAGCCCAGCCATACAAAGACCAGGGACGACAACTGCAGGCAGAGGAAATAATTTTTGAATGGGAGAACAGGAGAAAAAAGCAAAACAAAGCAAAAAAAAAAAAAAAAAAAGGATTAACTGTGTGCTGCCAGTGACCAGCCTTCTGCCATGAGTCTGATGCACCTAGTACAGGCATGTCGGGCAAAGTAGCTTGCAGATTACGGCTAGAGTAAGATGTCTCCCCACTGTTTGGTAAGAAAGGTCACCTCTGGTTAAGCCCTGCCTACAGTGATCTCTTTGGACCTCTGCGCAGCTGTTCATTATGTGCACCTCCCATTCTTTCAGCACACATGGGCACAAGGTGCTCTATAAGGAAGTGTTGGGACATATAGACCAATCACACATGCGCCCCAGTGACCCCTGTGGCAGGAAATCATCTAGTGGCACAAAAAGGCATGAACAACACACACAGGTACAAAGCAAAAGTGGGCCACGAGAAAAGGGATATAAAATGCAGGAGTGTGCAGAGATTGCCTGCAGCTGGGGCATCAGGGGAAGCCTCATGGGGAGGGGCATGAGAGCAGAGTCTGTGACACCTGAGAACTTGGACATGTGGGGGTATACAGATCCGTTTGTTGTATCCCTAATTAAGTATATTTCAAAACATTCTTAACTCTCCAAGTTACAAGCTCAGGGAGAGAAGGCGTGATACTCCTTGTATCTCTCTGTGATACTTAGCATTGTATCGCGATGTATCATGATTCATTTTAAGAAGAGATGTTGATTTCAGCACTGAGGCAAGGTTAAATTATTCTTTGTTTCATAACGAGATTTTGAGCTTCAAAACAGAAGACTCCCAAACCTCTTAATACACCATCTCACTTCACAGGGACATTCCTAGAAGTTTTTCCAAAATTCAAAGGTATTACAAGTGAACAGGTAGACAGTGTGCTTCTGCACACACACACACACACACATACACACAGACACACACACACACACACAAACACAATGTTTACATGTGTGTATTTGTAGGTCTGCATTCGTACATCACTACACCTTAAGTGCAGAATCCCGCGAGATTATTTTAAACTTCCCCTGCTAAATTGAAGTTCGTACTTCAGAGAAAATTTTTTTTTCACTGATAAAACTTTCCCATCCAGGCCCTCATCATCCCTTCCCATTCCCAACAAAACATCTTAAACCAGAGAAGAAAAGCCAAACAACATTTTTTAGGCAGTGTCTCAACATCTCTAAAAAATAAATTCCATGGCCAAACTCACCATAGAGAGCTGTCCAAGTTTGATTAATTACATCTAGACACACAGTTCCTGACCTGAAACAGATGGAAAGAATGGCATTTTTTTAAAAATTAGAAAGCTAGTCGCATGTATCTGGCAACTAATTTTACTTATCAAGAAAAGTACACCTTTAATAGACCATCAAAAAAAAAAGAAAAGAAAAGAAAAGAAAAAGAAAAAGAAAGAATTCCAATTAGGAAAAGTACGATGAGGAGCAGAATATATACGAAATCTTAAGTGTTTCCTTAAAGATTGAAAGGGAAAACCCGCAACTACACAATGGAGAAACTAGACAACACCTTAAACAGGTGCTGAGGCTTCACAGGGAGGACCCGGCAGAAGGTGGGGCAGACAACCCTGTGCGCCTGCCCAGGATGTGGCACTTCAGGCCTAACATGCATCCTCTGGCTCTAATGAGGAGGAAACCCCACACAACCCCAAACTGGGGGGCGGTCTTTAAAATAACTGATCTATATTCTTTTAAAATGTCAACTTTAAAAAAGCTGAGGAATTATTCCAGATTAAAGTAGTTTAAAGAAACATGACAAGTAAATGCAATACATGGTCCTGGGCTGATGATCCTTCACTGACTGGCGGACGGGGGGATTGGGGGGTGGGGGCGGGTAGTGCCAAAAAGGTACATGCGGCTGAATGTGGCAGTAGATTTAGTAGTACTGGGCTGTATTCAATTCCTGCATCTGACTGTGCTGTGGTGACCAACAAAGCATCCTTGTGGATCATGCCCCGGTGACGGACACAGAGTGTGTGGGGACAACGGGGCATGATGTGTGTGCATGACCCACTCAGAGCTCAGAATACCTCCTGTTGTTATGTGTGTAACAGCAGAATTTAGTGCTGTGACGAGGAAAAACTGCGGAACAAAAAAATGTACTGCAAACAGCACTGGAAGTACACAACAGGAGGCACATTTTAAAGCATCACTAATAAAATATTAGAAGGAAAGAAAGGGTAAGTAAGAGTCATTAACTAAATGAAACTACAGCCATTCACGTTTGCTTTACTCTCAAGAACCCAGAAACACTTAGGGGCTGGAAACAGTACATTTGTATACAGAAAACTGATCTGTGAATTGTGTCCACACAAAGAGAACAGAGCCGTGGAGCAGGGCAAATGCAGGGAATGAAGGACCCACGCACAATGTAAAAACTAAGCAGCCCAACAGCAGGACCTGCACTAGGTGGTTTCGAGTATCAGAACCCTGGACTCCATAGTGTAAGTGGCCACACAGTCCTCTCCGCTGATAAAATCCAAAAAGATAATTGAGAAAAAGATAATTTTTAATAATGGAGAGAAAGAGATGAATGCTTAAAAAGAGCAGTTGCTGCTAAGATTTAAACATTTTTAAACAGTTACTTACGCTTCATCAATGTTGGGATGGAAAATTTTATTCATGAATCCTGTAAAAAGAGATGTTAATTAGCAGCAAAAAAGTGTCCAGAGAACAATTAGTTTTTAAGTATTTCAGTACTGGAAACAATTTCAGTATTGGAAAAAGTTGATGATACCCATAACTGATTACTTTTAATCTTATATGCTTGGTTACTGATAAGATGATATATTCTCCTGACAGTGTCAATTACTTAAAGCACATCAGAGTTCTATTAAAAAAATGAGCAAACTTTGAGAGCAATGCAGCTTCTTATATACAGAATAATCATTGAGAGACTTTTCTGAGCTATGAAGGGTACCTGCTAAGACAATGTGTAGTCCTAAATGGGTTGTAACTGGTGCCGATTCCTTTTATCAGAAAGTTAAGAAAGCTACTCTGACTTCCCTCCCAAAGGTTTTGTTGTTCAATCTCTAAATTTAGAGGTTCTGCATTTGAACTTCTCCTTCTGTGGCTCAGTTACTGGTATACTGCTGAGCTACACTGTGTGCGGAACATGAATGAAGCTGTTGGAAACACTAAAGAAGCACCGCTTCCCATCCACAAAGGATTTCATAAGAACAGTGACCAAAATATTTCCTTTAACTTCAGTCTACTCATTCCAGGAAACCCAGTTTTTTGATTAAAATTGGGGCAACCACGAAATGAGGCAAGGAGTTAAAAAAAAAGATCTGTCAGATGGCTGTATCTGTCAGGGATTCAAGTTTTTTGATTTATTCTAGAAAAACAAGGAGAGACTTTTAACAAATTATGTATTTATAATTTTTTTAAAAGATTTTATTTTTAAGTAATCTCCACACCCAATGCAGTACTCGAACTCACAACCCTGAGATCAAGGGTCACATGCTCTACTATCGACTAGACTTTAACAAAATATTGATGTTTAAGTTCCAAGGAAAAACTAATTTTTTCTCTAATTAAGAATCAGTGATTTGGGGTGCCTGGGTGGGTCAGTGGGTTAAAGCCTCTGCCTTTGGCTCAGGTCATGATCCCAGGGTTCTGGGATTGAGCCCCACATCGGGCTCTCTGCTCTGTGGGGAGCCTGGCTTCCTTCTCTCTCTGCCTACTTGTGATCTCTAATAAATAAATAAAATCTTTAAAAAAAAAAAAAAGAATTACCTTTAAAAAAAAAAGAATCAGTGATTTAATCAGTTTATATATATGCAAATGACAATATGCTAAAGAAGAGGTCCACTGTCAAAGCTGTCATTTTATCATCCTCATCTCGAGACTTCTTTATGCCATTTCACACTTTCAATAAATTGAAGTTCCCTACTACAGTGACAGTCACTATGTCCCTCCCAATCCCACCCTCTTTCACTCCTCCCCCGTCCCACCTCCCATTTCTCTTTCTTTCATTCAAAATATACTTGGTTAACACCTGTTTGTCTGGCACTGTGCTGGTTCAGGGCATAAAGGTAGCGAGGCAGCACACTTTCCCTAGGAGGTCACCTCAGTGGCGAGATGGGACACAAGTCAGTAAGGGCAGAGCGCACAAAGAACTGACATAGTTGAGGGCATGAGAGGGAAAGAGGGAAGGTACCAGGAAGTGCTGAGAAGGGGCATTAGAGAAGGATCCTCAAAGACTAGTTTCAACAAAGGTCATCTTGGAAAAATCTAAAAAACTTCTCTAGACTCAGGAAACAGATATACAAAATCCTGGTTATATATTTCACTCTTTCCTTGCTCTAGTCCAATACTAACTATGCTTCTAAATTTTGTTTTTTACTCTTTCATGTTGAAATAGCTTGTTTTCTCTAATTCTCTCGAAAGCCCATGCAATGTTTAGATTACTCCGATGTAAAAAGAAATGACTTGTATCCAATTTCTATTTCATATTAATTTTTTCATTAAGGAAATAAGTTGCTTCCAAGTCTAGATTTAAGTACGTATTTATTGAAGAGATTAAACTAAGCCAATATAAATGTTCATGTCTTAATGTTAAGAGGATAACAATTCTATATGAGCTTGGAAAAACACTAATAAATGTATCCATGAAGAACCATGAGGGTATTTGTCCCAGCATTATTTTAAAGGCCAAGAACCAAATGCAATCCTATCAAAGGGACTGGAGAGACTGTAGTACATCCATATGCTGGGAGTCCTAAGGTAATGAACTAGCTAAGTATCAATTTGGATAGACCCATAGCTGAGGGGAGGAAAAAAAAAGTTGTAGAATAGTATTTGTAGCATGATACCATTTAGATACACTAAAACAAGGCAATGCTACCTATCTCTATGATAACAAAAGTACAGAAAACTGTACTGGACCAACATAAAATGAACTTACTGAAGTAATCAACTATTTCAGTGAGGGCACAGGGTCAAGATCATGTGGGAACAGGGAACAGAATTGGAATGGTGATGAAAGATGAACCTATCTATAACACTATTTCTTTTAAAAAGAGGTAATCGGCTTGTATATTATTTGCTCTTTTTTTTTTTTTTTTTAAGTGTGCACATAGGTAGGACACTAGAAGCAAACATATACAACTGTTAACAGTGGTTAATTCTTCATGGTGGGAATACTGTCTCCATTATAGTTTTCAAATCGCATCACCACCCCGCTCCCCAATCCCATACCCAAAGTAGGATCACAGCAATGTCAAAAAAGCTAGAAGAAAACAACCAAGTGTCAACAGTAGTCAACTTTGAGAGACTCCCGCATTAGTATTACTCTCCTGACTTTCCAAAATTTCTACATTGTGTCATTTTAATAGTTGGGAAAAAAAAAAAAAACCCTTTCAAGTTAAAAAAAATTATAAACAGTAGCAAACATACTAAAGCAGACCCAATTATACATAGGTTATCTAATGCTGAACCATTTTAAGAAAAATCAACTATTTTATTTGATCTCAGATCAAATAAAATAAAATAAAAAATAAAATAAAATAATAAACACGTTCTTGTTTCAGTATTATAAATCCATCCCCCCCCCAAAAAAAATCAAAAAAGATCTTCAGGTTATAAGGCATGTGATCCTCCATATCAGTTACAAACGGGAATCTACTGCTATCACCACTGCCGAGAAACTTCCGGATGAGTGGGAAACACTGATGTTTAGCCACTAGATGGTTTAATTCAAGAGACTCATTCTATTCTGTGAAAAGTACTTTTTCAGCTCTGTGAAAAGTACTTTGGCTTGAGGACACAATTAAAAACTTAAAATTCGTTCTTGATGCTTAAATCCTGCTTCTGCTACATGGTTCATGAGTAACACCTAGGAAAGCAACGTCTACGGCAGAGGTCCCCAGTGCTACAATCTAAGAAGCCCCTGGAGAGCTCTTTATGAACAGAAGTACTCTGCTAGAAGGTGCCAGACAGGAATGCTGGGGTGGGGGCTGCAGTTGTAAATGGGATGGTCAGGGAGGGCCTCAGGGAGGTGTCAATTCGAAGGAGGTAAGGGAGGAATCATTCAGTATCTAGGGGAAGAGAATCTATACAACACAAACAGCCAAGCGCAAAATCCATCAGGACTTTGCTTGTTGTGTCTGAAGACCAGCAGAGAGACTGGTGAGGCTGAAGGAGTTGAGTAAGGAGAAGCCAAGAAGCGAGGTCAGAGAGGTGATGAGCATTTGTGGGCCCTTTTAAGGGTACGGATTTTAAATCATTCTGAGGTGGGAAGCCAGAGACTTAGCTAAAACAGTGATACATACAATCCCTCTGTAAAATTGTTGTTTCTAACAAAAGTCTTATCTCTAAAACAAAACAAAACAAAACAAAACAGGTGAATAAGGAAACAGCTCAATCAGGTCACAGCACCTTAGTGCTGGGGACAGAACAAAGGTCTCGAGCAAAATGGAGTGGGCTGTCTCTCCCACAGTAAAAATGAAGTTTAAACAATCTGATGGCACAGGGAACCCCAAAGGTGTTAAGAAAACAGCTAGGGTCAAAAGAGCTTTAAATGTTTACCAAAACAGTCTCTGAAAGATTAAGGTGCCTCCCTCCTGGTACAAGGTCTGGAGATTACATTTGGAATCAATAGAGTTCCCACACTGTTTTCAATTAAGTCAAGATTCTGGCTTGGCTGAAACCAAGAGTATATAATAGTGCCAAAAAGGACTTAGTAAACATACTCTTAGTAATAAATGGGTTGGAGCCTAATCCCAGTGCCCCTGCTAAGTATAAAACATCATCTGCGCTCTGAGACAGAGGGCAAACTCAGACGGGAAAGGATTCACAAGGACTTGAGTTCTGGTCTCAACCCTGCTATTAACTGCAAGCCCTGGCTAGATCGCTTCACTTCTGTGGGTCTAGGTCTTCACATGAAATAGCCAGACTGTATGATCTCCAAAATCTCCACTCTTCATTCCGTTAATAAAGGGACTATCAGCTCTAACAATCCAGAATTTAGTACAATGGCCAGAGCTCTGGCAACAGAGGAGTTTAGAGGAAATGTCCAATAGTTAAGTCCATAAAGGAAATTAATTCTGCAAGGCACATTTTTAGGTACAGAAATACTCTGGAGCATGTAATACAAGGCTAACAACATGCTAAAATACCATAAAGAGATACAAAATCCATGGACTACTCCAAAGTAGGTAGAAACAGAGTTTATAACCTTGCCTTGGAGGAACAAATTCAGCCAGACCAATTCTACCCAAAAAACAATCTCCAGACTACAATGATCTCTTCCTATACCAGGCTTTTTCAACTGTTAGAAAAACCCCCAAAGCAAATAAACAGAAAGGAGTATTCTCCTTTACATCTGCTCTCAGACAAGCTGTGGAGAGCGTTTCTGGCAAAGCCACTCACATTCTAGATAACGATGGCAACAAGGGCACTTCTGGACGAGAAGGGGAGGAGGCAGAGAAAGAACAGGCTAGGAATTCAGAATTCAGAGAAGGAACATTCTCAGGACTGAGCGTGTTTGCCCTGGCACGTTTTCCTTCCTTTTGGCAATGCTATCACCACACTAATGAATACGTCCGCAGTTAAGAGAATTTTCCCAACACTTGTTTCCATTCAACCAGGAACTATTTTGAAGATATTTTAAGAAAATATATTTTG